CTCATGAAAACGCGGTTACCCACTTCGATTTGGGTTCATTCCATTTTGCATGCAGTAATGCTAGTTCGTCTCAGACCGGCAAATTATCATAACTATTTCCCGTTGCAATTAGTTTTGGGTCATGAACCTAATATATTCCATTTAAGAATTTTTGGGTGCGCAGTATATGTGCTTGTAGCACAACCATATCGCACCAGGATGGGTCCCAAAAAAAGATTAGAAATATATGTTGGGTTTGAATCGCCCTCCATTATTCCCTACCTTGAAACATTAACGGGAGATTTATTTACTGCTCGATTTGCAGATTGTCGAATTGATGACGCATTTTCCCCAAAATTAGGGGGAGAAATTGGTGAAACCAAACGGGAATTTTTGTGGAAAAATCCATCATTGTCTCATCTTGATCCACGTGCCTCTTCTTGTGAAAAAAGGTGCAAAAGATTAACCATTTGTAAAAAATAGCAAATCAAATGCCAGATGCATTTACGGATCTGAAAGGATAGCGAAATCACATATCCATATAGAGAATGTTCCAATCCGTATTGATGTCCCTATTGGACAATCTTTTAGTGTGATAACTAATGAATCAAAAGCACTCCTAAAGCATGGCAGACCATTGGGTTATAAGGATCGAAATCTAGAAAAAGAAAAATAAATGATAAGATGACGCTACGAATGAGTCTCATAAAGAAACCCATGATTTAACCAATCATGAGATTCATGAGAAAATCAATGAGCCAGAGGCTCAAGAAAATAAGGAACTATCAATAAACCCAATTGATTTTGAGACAAATTTGAATCGATTGGATATAATGGTGGATCATGTCTTTACATACAATATTGCATCTAGCATTATGCAAGATAATGAGGATCTTGAACCTCAATCTATTGGAGAATGTCAACAAAGACGTGACTGGACAAAATGACAAGAAGCAATCCAATATGAGTTAGATTCACTTGCGAAACATGAAGTTTTGGTCCTATAGTCCAAACACCTAATGGTGTTAAGCCTGTTGGCTATAAATGGGTCTTTGTACGTAAGAGAAATGAGAAAAATGAGGTACAAAAATATAAGCATGCCTTCTTGCACAAGAATGTGTCGATTATGAAGAGACATATTCACCTATTATGGATGCAATAACATTTCGTTATCTCATTAGTTTTGATGTCCATGAAAATCTTGGCATGCATTTAATGGATGTGGTTACAGCCTGCCTTTATGGCACACTTGATAACAAAATATACATGAAAATTCTCGAAGGATTTAAAATGCCCGACACACATAACTTAAAGTCCCGGGAAATATTTTCATTCAAATTGCAAAGATATGGTCTAAAGCAATCAGAAAGAATGTAGTATAACCGCCTTATTGAGTATTTATTAAAGGAAGATTATATAAATGAGGCCATTTGTCCATGTGTTTTTATAAAGAAAACAACATCAGAGTTTATTGTACTTGTCGCATATGTTGATGACATAAACCTTATTGGAACTCCTACAGGACTCCAAAAGGCAATTGATTATTTAAAGAAGGAATTCGAGATGAAATATCTCAAAAAGATAAAATTATATCTCGGTTTGCAAATTGAACATTTGGCAAGCGGGAATTTTGTTCATCAATCTGCCTACATAGAAAAGGTATTGAAACAGTTTTACATGGATGAAGCACATCCATTAAGTACTCTGATGGTTGTTCGATCACTTGATGTGAATAAGAATCTGTTCCGACCTCAAGAAAAGAATGAAGAGCTTATTGGTCCTGAAGTATCATATCTTAGTGCAATCACTTTTACGTATCATATATGTCTAGCATGACATGAAAACTTGATATGCATCTAAAGTCTATTTCTTATATGACAATCCATGAAGGATTTAAATGGCTTAAAGCAGATAGAAATCTTGGTCATGAAGTACTCCATCCTAAGTGTAATTTGTGCACATAAATATCTTGTCATAACTATAAGCATGGTAATACGATGCTAAGAGTCCTTACCCCTATGTGAAGATATTGAACATCTCTATCAAGATCACATGAAGGCAATACATCTCTATCAACAATGATGATTTCAAAATGCAACATATTCGTTCAAGTTAATATGGGTGATTTGTTTATCAAATCTATACCAATAATTTTTTGAGATGGCGCACAAGATTGGAATGCAAAGACTCAAATATCTGAATTGATGTTCTCATCAGGGGGAGTTAATACGTGATGTACTCTTTTTTCCTTACAAGGTTTTGTTTTCACTGACCTTTTCTTGCAAGGTTTTTAACGAGGCAACCAAAAGACATATTGTTAGATATGTGTACTCTTTTTCCTTCACTAGAATTTTTTTTTTCCACTGGATTTTATTTTAGTTGAGGTTTTAATGAGGCACTTTGTTGAATAGACATTCAAGGGAGAATGTTATAAATAGAATTGTATTTAAGGTGAATGTCTATATATTAGAAAGATTTTAGGGTTTGTTACTTGGTGGCTAAATCACTTTTTCCCCATAACTAGAGGGGCTTTATTCCATTATAGTTCATCCAAAATCAATAAGAATTTTCTCTATATAATTTTCTCTGCTATACTCTTTTTCTGTTATTGTTTTATAACAGATTCAATAAAGTTAGATTTATTCGTCACGTCTAGTTTTATGGCCTAAGTAAAATCCCACTCCATTTGGATTAAGCCAGTTTTTGATTTCACAAAGTAAGTCCGTTTAATGACTTAAGCACAAGATCCACTTAAAATTCACATTTATCGCAAGACTCAAGCATGCAATATGTCAAGTAGTAGCGCTTGTTAAGTCAAATTTAATTAAGAGCTATGAGATCATGTTAGGTGTTTGATGTGGTAGCAATCAAATTGAAGACCACTTGAAGTCTTTTAAATATTGATATTCCGACCAATCAAATACAGTTTGATCAGTTTATAGATTAAAGACAATCATTCAAATCAAGGAAAAAGTTCGCGTATATTATGATTGTCTCTTTTTCTCAATTATAAATAGAGTCATATATATCTCCCTTAATGCATCTTAAAAGTTCTAAGAGGAGGTGGTAGCATCGTCACTAGGGGTGTTCATGGTTCGGTTTGGATCGGTTTTTCCCTAAAAAGAAACCAAACCAAGTAAATCGGTTTTTCAAATATTAGAACCAAACCAAACCAAACCAATTAAGTCGGTTTTTTCTCGATCCAGTTTATATCGGGTTTTGTCGTTTTTTCGGTTTTTTCAGTTATTTGTCAGGTTTTTCTTAAATATAAGACATACACTACCAAACACATATTTCGGCGACCACATCTTCAACGTAACACTATCAAATCAATTGTCCTTTGAGAAATCTATTATTTACTAAAATATATTGATGATAATTGAATCAAATAATGATGAATAATTTAAGGACTCAATTAAAAAAATATTTTTTTTAACATCAAATGGATTCTTACACTTAACAAAAGAAAATTGCCAATCAAACTAGAATATAAAGGTAAAAACTGTACTAAAAATGCAAACGATTGACATTCACCATACATTTTTTGAAACTTTGTATAAAAATATACATATATACACGTGTAATAATAAATTTGAAATAGCTACTCCTATAATCAGTTTGGTTTGGTTTTTCCCGGTTATTTTTTGATTAAAACCAAACCCAAACCAAATTTGATCGGTTTTTAAAATTCAAAACCAAAACCAAACCAAACCAAAAAGTATCGGTTTGGTTTGGTTTTCGGTTTGGTTCGATTTTTCGAGTTTTTATAAACACCCCTAATCGTCACATAGCCTTTTTCATAGTTTTATTGTAAAATAAGGATAGGTGTTGCTGTAAAATTGCTACTTTATTGTGTCAATCCATAAGGGTGCTAATTAATAAGCATTGCATAATTTCTATAAAAAAATGATTTTTCACTAAAATACCCACCATATTCTTTAACTTCATGCACGATTAATATTGCAACAATTTTATTACCCTTCAGATTCTTTACTCTCTCTAAAGCCAACTTCTTTTACCGGGAAGCAAAATTAAAAGGGAAATCTAATTTAAATATTAAAGTTAAAAAAAAAATTAATTGCTCTTACATATAATACAAACTATATAATATTAAAAAACTTGGTAGATTTTTAAGAAATAAAGAAAACTTTAGTTTATACTTTGTAACAATTCAAAATCAAATTAGTATTAAATATGATATTATTTTGATATAGTAGAATGCTAAAGGAAAAAAATTGATTAAAATATAACAATATAGAAATATACAAAATATGACGAAATGTATTTGGTATAGGTTTTGAGGGATTCGAGGGATAGTTATGTCTTTAACCATATTTATGCAAGTATTAAATACTTTTGCATTGCTAATACAATAATTTTTTATGTATTAATTATACACAGAATAATACCAAATAGTAAGTATAATTAATACAAATATTAGTTATACATAAATTAAAAAAAATATACTAAATAAGAAATCATTAATGTACAAAACTAATGCTTGCATTATATCTAGTACTCCCTCTCTCTCTAATGGATTTGCCTCTATCTTCATGGTCACTAACTAAGTTTGAACGGCTATCTTACAAAATGTGTCAAGTTTAAGGAACTATCTAGATATTTAGCCATTTCTTTTCATGCAACTTTTTGTCCCAAAGAAAATAAAATCCTAGCAAAATCAATTAAAACCTCAAAGAAAGAGAAAAAGAAAATATAAATGGGATATTACAATCATCTCCACATTTCATGGTGCCCACATTGCTGCTGTCTTTGAGGGGTTGGGAAAAATTTACACAGAATTAATTATTCTAAAATTAATTATCCGAAATATTATTCCAGCTTCTTATAGGAAAATAAAAATCACAATTAAAAAAAAAAAAACTATTCTCAAAATTAATTATACTATAGTTTTATCCCAAGAAAATATCAAATCTATCACAAGGTACATATTAGACCACCAACGCTATGGAAAGTGGGTCCCACAGATTTTGGATTCTACAGAGACTAGATCAAAATTCAAAGATCGCTCTTTTCTTTTTCGCATAACATTTCCTTTCCAAATATTGAGCTGAAATAAAAGCTCAGCCATGGCTTCTCTACTTCAGTACTCTACAATTCCTCTTTCTCATAATCATTCTTCATCTTCGTTACCATCTTTAACTTGTCATCTCTCAAAAAGAAGCAATAGAAATACTCAAAAATTATTAGAGAAAAAGAAGTATCATATCAAGAAAAGCTTAATTTGCCAGTCGGGTATTGATGAGATCGCATTCATTGAGTTACCTGGTACTAAAGAAGCTAAAGCTCAACTTATTGGGTCTCTCAAACTCAAGTTATTGGTAATTCAAAGCTCTAATCTTTTTTTTTTACCCCTCCTTTTTTTCTTGGATTAATCTTTTTATTTTTACTTCCCTATGGACTTTCTTATGTTGAATTTGATGGGTTTGTCTTTGATTCTTTTTTCTTGATTGTTGTTAATTATCTTACTCTTTTGTGGTACATAGGATTTTATACCATTTCTGTAATTTAACCTATTATAGCAGTTTGTTTACCACTCTAGGTATTAATTAATGGTTACTAAATAGAGTTACCTTTAATTAATTGATGGCGCATAGAAGTTAAACTCTTCTTCCGATGGTCTACCGGAAACAATCTCTCTGCCTTCTTAAAGGTAGGGGTAAGGTTTGCGTACACACTACCCTCCCGGACTCCACTTGTGAGATTACACTGGGTTGTTGTTGAACTCCGCCCGTGTTAGTTTGTTAAAACATAGTCGATCCCAGAAAAAGAGCTAACTAATATTGTGGTAGATTGACAGGAATATAGAAATAGTCAGTCGTTAACCTAAATTCGAGGGTAGTGTGTGCACATAGCTGACCCCAACTAGTTTGGGGGGTTGAGTAGCTGGCTTGAATTGAATCTTGGCTAGATATCTGTTTTTCTTTTTTGGCATGTCTGTTATATGAGTATATTGATATGCAAGTGATAATCAACTTGTTTGTTACCACCTAAACAACTCGAATCACCGAGGAATTAAATGTGACGAGGTAAATGATAGATCAAGGCTAAATCTACCTCTATCGCTGCCCTCTGAATTCATATATAAAAGCTGAAACTTAGTTTGTGATTCAGAATTTGGAATTTGACCACATGGCATATTTTGCATGTTAGTACCAGGATTTTAGACTCGCACCTTTCGCTTTTCCTTCAAAGATACTGAGGACGGATTGAATGCGTTAATTCCTTGCACAATCATTACCTTTTAATTGAAGTGCCTTGAAGAGACATGCTTAATACCTGAGAATTGAGATAAGGTCATATAAAAGACGTGTAGAAATTGGGTTTCTCGTAACCTGCATCCGTATCTATTTGTCTATTTGACAACAATTTCTTTCTAGTTGACCTTTCTTCTTGATCTGGATGAATTAGGAGACTAGTGAGTATTGTGGTTGGAGAGATATCTGTCGTAACAGTGACAACATGATACGATCATCAGCACTATTATGACAGATACCTCTCCTTACTGAAGAGATATTTGTCAATAGTGCTGATGATCGTACATCCAATGTTGGTAGATTGCTGTATACAGGAGAAGCAGATAACTTTTAGGTGAAGGTTTGGACATGTTTAGGCAGAAAAGAACCATAAATTAGTGTCTTTTTGCAACTGAATGAGGATCCAAGTGATTACTGATGCTTGAGTTTGAGAATCAGAGAATACATCGTGCCAGTAAATTCTTTGAGCACAAAAATTAAAGGAAGAGTACAAATGAAGAAGAAACTCCAAATCGACAATTTTTTCTCCAAACATAAAGAGGAAATGAATATGCATATGCTTTAATAATTGAAGGTGTTGAGACATGATATATCAGTATGTGTTTCCTAAATGAAAAATTGTTATCAACATAGTTTTACTAATGTACATGAGTATTAGTCACTCACGAAATGCTGAAGGCTTAGCCTTAGTTGAGGGTCGTTAGTTGTAACCATGTAGGAAGAGTATGGGAGTGCTAGGTGCAGCATGTCGAGTGCTAACTAAGTGGTTGATTTGCTAGCGAACATGGAACATGCAAATGGGGAGGAACTAATGCTGCTCAATCAAGTCCCAGAGGCCAGAGGAGGCTAATGAATCAATTGGGAACGTTCATTCAGGTGGGATTACTGTTATTAACTATGTCCCCTTGGACCACCCATGCGACAACAATAACATCTACTACTGAGCCTCAAACCCAAACAACTACTATATTAATCCTCATTGACCATGTTTCTCCATTTAAATTATCCAGCACCATTCTTGCAATAAAACTAAAAGTAATAATTATAGAAGTTACTGCCTATTGTACGACCATTGTACCGTTGTCCATTGAAGGATCTGTTTAGACTTTGAGGGCGAGAGACTGAGATGAATGGAGAGCTGATATGGTTTCGAATATTAGAACGTATTTTGTTCTACTTTATTTGGATCTTGGATTGGCATGATTACAGCAATCACTACTGGAATGGCAATGTCTAAGGACAAATAAAAGATGTGGATTTTGCTAGAAAATCCTATTATCCCGCTTCAATTGCCAATCAACTAGCTTTACATGCCAAGAATGTCATGGTTTAGCACATCTAAGTACAACGGAATAGTTGTTGATCTGGTGTCAAAGATGTATGCACCTGATGTTGCCGTCACTATGAGCTTATGCCTATCTCCATGACGTAGCACTTTCTTAGCTAGGTCCAATATTTGGCTGAACCGTAATCATGAAAGTATAACTGTCCCTGCGAGGAATTGCGAGTATTTTCCATCTCTTCATACTGTTTGAAGTTTTTTTCTCTTTTCCATGGAAGTTAATCTTTTTAATTACAGCAAGTCAGGTTCCTCTTGACAAATGTGTTGGTCACTTGCAGAGTGCTGTTTCTGGGCTAAACAGAGGTCTTGCTGCGAGCGAAGAAGACCTAAAGAAGGCGGATGCTGCTGCCAAGGAGCTAGAATCCTGTGCAGGAGCTGTAGATCTCTCAGCTGATCTCGATAAACTTCAAGGGAGGTGGAAATTGATATACAGCAGTGCATTCTCAGGTCGCACTCTTGGTGGAAGTCGTCCTGGACCCCCCACCGGAAGACTTCTTCCCATTACTCTTGGTCAGGTAAACTAAAAAAGAAGGATCCCTTTCATTTTGTCATTTCCACGCATCTGTCTGTCTTCAGTTACAAACATGCATACAGTGGTTAGCCATGAATTAAAGAGAACAAAAAGAGGTTGTGCGACATTTATTATAATTACCATAGGCATGTTATGAAGAGAGAACAGAGACTGGCATTATATTCTGAGGTAGATAAAGTTAGTGATTTCGGAGTACAAGTGCACCCACTATGTCATTATAACGAGTTCAGACTTAGTGTAAATATATTCCTTAAAAGAATTTTCAACTCTCTCCCTCTACATGCGCACGCGTGTGTGGGGCACGAACCAAGAACCTCGACAAGATCAGCCCTTGATTATATTCTGGATGAGAAGTTGCGTTCTTGGAGTCCTCATATCCAAGATTTGCTTTCGAACATTTCTTGCTAGTTTTTCTGTTGCAGTTATAAGGATCACTATATCCGTTACTTTTAGCAGAGTGTTCTAATTACTGCATATGTCAAGCTTAATTTATTGATACACCATCGCATAACAGACTGATTTGGTTTGATCAGGTATTTCAAAGAATTGATGTACTAAGCAAGGATTTTGACAACATAGTGGAGCTTGAATTAGGCGCTCCCTGGCCTTTACCGCCTGCTGAGTTGACTGCCACTTTAGCCCATAAATTTGAACTGAAAGGTTGGTTCTGTGTATTCTCTCATATCTTTTGGACCAAGAAGATTTCTTTGGTATCATTGCTTCTCTTATTGCAGTTTCCTGATTCATTTCATGTTTATATATTTCGACATATAGGATCATCCTCGATTAAGATTACCTTCGAGAAAACTACAGTGAAGACAACTGGAAACTTATCACAGCTACCACCATTTGAGGTGCCTCGGATACCAGATCAATTCAGGCCACCATCTAATACAGGAAGTGGTGAGTTTGAAGTTACCTATATTGATTCTGATACACGCGTAACAAGGGGAGACAGAGGAGAGCTTAGAGTTTTCGTTATCTCATAAGATGGGCTGCAATAGGTATAGTTTTCCTACAATATTTTGTTGCTACAATTGCATGTACAATATATCAAATGTATAGATATGCTCAACATTATTCTGCTGGTCCACAGCTAGCAAAGTTGTAATGCTACTGCAAGTTTGAATCTGTATACAATAAGCTCGATTTTGTGTCTACTAAGTGGTGCAAGGAATTAAGTAGTGTGATCTCTCGGATACACAAATTCAAAAAAATAAAAAAGGCAGCGCGGTAAGCTCCCGCTATGCATGGGGTCACAAAGGGCCGGACCACATGTCCATGTTGCATCTTTACCTTACATTTCTAGAAGAGGTTGTTTTTGCGACTTGAGCTTGAGGCCATAGGGCAACAACTTTTATTGTTGTGCCAAGGCTCCCCTTCACGATACACAAGATATGCAACGGAAAAATGTGGTCTGGAAACAAAAACATGCCATGATTTTGATATGGGAAAAAGAGAATTCACTGTGTGAAAGATGAATACAGTATTTCACTGTAATGAAAATAAAATACAATTGACCAATTATTCAACAATTGTGGAGTGAATGGAAAGGGGGGCATCCCCACCCCCCCCCCCCCCCGTTTTTTTTTTTTTGGGGGACTCACATCGACCATGGGCCTAGCTCCGATACCTTTTTTTACCTAGCTATACGAGAGAAAAAAAAGGAAAGGTTGTAATTGAATCCCTTAATTGAAGGCTAATAATGGGGCGGGAGCCTTTTAAGAAGCAATGTATACAATTTATAATAAAAACCTAGATACTTATTAAAAACAGTAGAACATAGGTAAATAAGTTTCTAATATAGTATAGCTAGGTAAAACTCCTTGTCAAATAAGCCTTGGGCCTAACTCACACCCCAAAAGCTAGCTCGAAGGGAGGAGGATTGTCCAAGCTTTATAAGGAGACTAGAGATTTCATCCCGGTCCAATGTGGGATTCATTTTATTTATCACATACATGGTTCGAGTCAAAAGCAGTGGAAGAATCTATGTCCTCAGCCACGACTTTTATATCTCAATGATCCAAACCTCTCTGACTTAATACATTGCAATTTGCAAGAAGCAGAATCCTGGAAAACTTGGAGAATGTTTGGCTCAAAAGTTAACAATATACTTTGTAAGCTAGAAAACAATCAAAAGTAAGGAAAGGGTAAATCGTAATCAAATATAATAAACCTAGAGATGCAAAGATGATATTATTGTTGTAGATCTAGATCTAGTATTGCAAAGTAATAATATGAACTCAATAAGATATGTTCGTTTGAGGTAGAGATAGAGAGAGAAAGCCAGAAAATGAGAGAGTTGTATTAGATCTGAATCCCCCTTTTTACAATGTGAAGGTCTCCTTTATATAATAAGAGACCTTCCTCGAAAGAATCAAAAAGTTAGAAAGACAGGTAACGTCTTCCTAGTGAAGACACTGAGTCCTAAACGATGTCGCTTTTGTCCCCGCATCCGAGTCGTACCCGCTACGTTAGTCGGCGTATACTCACTGGGCGTACCCTCTGGCGTAGAGACGCTGACGGTCAAATTTGACCCCATACAGTTAGTCCCTCCGCTCGTTGGAGATGCATTCAGTGGGCGTCTTCGATGGGCGGAAATGCGAACCTCGGCTTAGGAGAATTTGACCTCGATCAGGGGCGACAATATGAATGAGGTGAAATATATGACGTTGTTGAGCCACTGACGCGTGGCTTCCTTTTTGGAATGACATCATCGCCTGTATGCGTCATTATTATACTTGACTCCGAGGTGGTTCAGAGGATGATGTGACATTTTGGTTTCCCGCGCACGTTTTGAATCATGACTCTTCGATTTCTGCGCAACTTATCCCTATAAGTAGGAGAGAGGTTCGATTCGATTCAAATTTCAAGCCTTCGGAAAGCATTTTCTGATTTACTCCTTTGTCTTTCTTTCCTGTAACCGTTATTTCATGAAGGACTCTCCCACTTCTGTTGAAACCACACTTCCTATTGTCAGTGCTTCGTTTCTTACGTAGTATAATCATGACAAAACGCGGACAGAGTAGTAAAAAGGCCAAAGATAATGCCCCGTCTAGGGTTCCGCCATCTTCCGGTGGTGAAGGGGAAAAGGCGGAGAAGGCCCTTGTTCCTCTCAGTGTAGACAACGTCCTTCCGAAGGAGATGCATGTTCGCAGGGATTTTCCAACTAAAAGCTCAGACCTTCCTTGGGAACACAACGTTTTATTACAATCCCACTTAGATGATCTTCGAGAGACACACCATATTCCGGACCACGTGGAAATGGTTCCGGTCGGGACGGACTATGCCAATGTGCACCGGCCTGGATATTGCACATTCTGTGAGTACCCGTTCTTGATCGGTTACAATCTTCCAATCTACCCTCTGATGGAGGAGCTTTGCCTTTTTTACAATGTGTGTCCGGCTCAGCTCACTCCTTACACCTTGAAGGTGTGCCGTATTATGACCACTTATGCGGCCAGGGCTGAGTGCAGCGTCTCGGTCCACCACCTCTTACAGTTATTCAGCCCTGGTTACCTGAGGGGTACCATGCTGCAGTTAAAAAGTCGTGGCACAAGGGGCTTGGTTGTTAAAGCCGATGATAAGCCCAACCGCCGCTTTTGGCGTAAATATTTCTACATCAGGACGGAGCACCTGGTGTCAAAACCCGAAGGGTTCCCGGAAAGATGGAATCCAGAATATTTCTGCTTGCGCTTTTGACCATACGGCCATTGTGATTTCTTTGCTTTTCTCCCCTTTTTATTCGCAGCGAGGGCTTCTCCACCCCAGTTTACTGATGACATTAAATCATGGGTGGAAAGAATAATACCTTATGCGGAGGAATGCCGTACCTGGGCTGCATTTCTTCAACAGTACGGCCCGTCAGGTAATTCTTTGGCTACGATTTGGGAGTTCCCTACGTTCTTGTTACCTGACTTATTCGCGTTGGCAGGTCGGAGCGCCCCTAAGAAGAAGAAAAAGAACGTTGTCATCTCACCTGGGGCGGGGACTGATTCTGAAGACGGATACATACCCTGTGGTTCGCCCAGTGATGGCGCTGCGGAGGTTCCTCAACCGCTGCCCGTGGCGGCATCCGCGAGGGGAGCGACTCCTTCAATGCCATCCCCACGGGCTGTGGAGGAGACTTCTGAGAGCGAAGAGCCGCCGGAAAGGAAAAGACGCCGGTTGATAACCGGCAAGGGGATAGCCACAGAAGACGAGGGGGCGAGCGAGCCCCGTCGGGAGTCAAGGCCAGTTTTTATGGCAGATGCCATCCGTTCCGGGAGGTCGGCTCCCCAAGGGGGGCGGTTCTCGATGCCAGCCCAACACGCATTCCGGAGAGCGGCTCGTCGGCTGCCGTTGGAGAAGCGGGCGATGATACCGAGAGGGTGGGCCCTAAGGCCGCCCAGGCGGATGCAGATGCGTTAACGCGGGGTCCGGCCCGTGTGGGGATGACGGCAGGTAGATCCAACCGCCGAATTCTGATCCCAGGAGGGTATAACCTGTTGCAACACAGCGAGCAGGCCGCAGCGGATATGACCCTGCTATGTGCGGCCGCTGAGCGTGAAATGTTAAAAGGGGTTAGTGACGGGGAACAATCCCGGAGGGTTGCCGGCGCGGCCTTGCAGGTATTTTTCGATTTTCTTCATGTACCGTAAAGTAAATTTTGATGCATACTGACTTGCCTTTCCTCCTTTTCCTCTTCTTTAGACTCTCATCTTGGAGATAGAGAGGGGGCGGCGAGCGCAAAGGAAGGCAGCCACCTTTAACAAGGTGGTAAAGAAATATCGGCGGTGCCGCGTCAAGCATCAGGCACTGGCGGACCTACTCAAGCAGGACCCGAAATTTCGGGTTTTCCGTGAGGGTTTGGAGCAGTCTGAAGCCCAGCTGAAACGGAAGGTGGCCGAGCTGGAGCAGATCGACGAGCAACTGATGACCGCCCTAGCTCGGAACATTGAGCTGGAGACTCTTCTCCAGTCTAAGGAGGAAGAGTTGGAGGTTGGCCGTGGGGTAGCGGCGGAAGCTGCTGATATGCGGATCAAGGTTGCCGCTATGACCACCGAACTCGATGCCAAGGCGGCTAAGATTGAAGTCCTTAAGCGGACTGCTGCACAAGGCCTGATGAGGATGCGCATCATGAGGCGCATGATATGTGGGTGTACGCCGAGGCCAGATTGGTCGTATTCGAGGAGTTCTTAGCTGCGGGTCGAGCTACTGAGGCGGAGGTTCAGGAGGTCGGTGCATAGCCCGTGTCGCCCGTGAAACTTGTGGATATAGTTCTGATTCCCCAGACCGGGTGGGTTATAACTCCGAAGACGTCAACCGTCTAGAATCTGGCTCTTGGATCTCTGCGGCCTATCAGGCCGAGGACGGCGGCGGACGAGATGGCGGTCCGATGGGGGGCGGTGAACAGAATGGCGAAGCCCCTTAGGACTTGTATTCATTTTGTTTTGCTGTATTTGGAGACGTAAATGGGTCCTTTTGTAAATGTATTTTTGGATGATAATGGAAGTTATACTTTTGCTGTTATTCTTTTCTTTTGGTAACTTTTATTTTCAGCCTTAATATTGTTGATGGCCTTAGCCGTGTGCGCAACTTCGACTATCATCGAGTTACTCGCTGTCATAGTCGAGCTGGGTCGACTTATCGGCGTGGATGGCCGTAGCCATTATACCGTTGATGGCCTTAGCCATGTGCGTAACTTCGACTGTCGTCGAGTTACTTGCCGTCATGGTCGAGCTGGGTCGACTTATCGGCGTCGGTGGCCTTAGCCATAATATCGTTTATGGCCTTAGCCATGTACGTAACTTCGACTGTCGTCGAGTTATTTGCCGTCATGGTCGAGCTGGGTCGACTTATCGGCGTCGATGGCTTTCGCCATAATATCATTTATGGCCTTAGCCATGTACGTGACTTCGACTGTCGTCGAGTTATTTGCCGTCATAGTCGAGCTGGGTCGACTTATCGGCGTCGATGGCCTTAGCCATTATATCATTGATGGCCTTAGCCATGTGCGTAACTTCGACTGTCGTCGAGTTACTTGCCGTCGTAGTCGAGCTGGGTCGACTTATCGACATCGATGGCCTTAGCCATAATATCGTTTATGACCTTAGCCATGTACGTAACTTCGACTGTCGTCGAGTTACTTGCCGTCATAGTCGAGCTGGGTGGACTAATC